TAGGGCGCCTGGGTGGCTCAGTTGGGTAAGCGACTGCCTTCAGCTCAGGTCATAATCCTGGAGTCCCGGGATCGAGTCCCACGTCGGGCTCCCTGCTCAGCAGGGAGTCTGCTTCTCCCTCTGCCCTTCCCCCCTCTCATGTGCTCTCTCTCGCTCTCTCTCTCTCTCTTTCAAATAAATAAATAAATAAACCTTTAAAAAAATGTGTCCAATAAATTTCTTTAAACTTTGTTAAACAAGTGAAAAGTTTAACTATTGGTCCATGTGGGTTTTTTTTTTTTTTTTTTTGAGCATGTCATTCTGAGCGTGATAATTTCATGCAGGCACGATAAGGTCTCTTCTGCGGAGATGTGTGTTCTGCTTGTCATGGTCTAGGGTGGGCTGCACATACCCTGGCCCTCCTGTCTTTGCTGTTGCTATTCCCCCTTTCCAACAGACATCGCTGGTTTCTAAAAGTGGTGTGTGGTGGCAATCTTAAACCAGGTTAAGGAAAACCTCAAACATTAGAAACAGCAAGAAATCCTAGAGATAGTTAAATAAAGTCAAGGTAAAGGTCAAGCAAAATTCCAATGTTTGTGGGTTCAGTTCATTAGGGTTTCATTTTTTTCCCCCAGAAAATGTCATAAAAGAACGATTAAAGAAAACCTCAAGGAAACAAAAATGTAGCCCCCTGGCTCCAGTACCATTCCCAGTAGGAAAAAGTAGGCGATGGTCTCTTTCTTACCTAAGCGGCATACATCTGATCACTTGGCCATATTATGGAAACTGTTACTTCCATCACCAGCCATAAGAGTTCAGACGCCCCCGGTAGTTTTAATCTAAAAGCTCAGTCATCCTGTTCTTCCTGCTTTGTCAGCTTTTGTGGAGAGTTTGTCCCTTCTTCCCATTAGCAGAAATTTGGTTCACGCCGTTAAACAGTAGCACATTGTTTCCAAACGGCATATCAAGGCTGAAACACAATCTTCAGGTCCTGCAGCCATTCGTAAACCTCTTTAGCTTTGTTCTTGAGTAGAACATACAATGTCTGCAGAGTCCCTTGACTGAATGACAGCCTTTGAAAGCCACTGTGGTATACTCATACAGAGAGATGTGCAGAGAGGTACATACACAGATGGTGGACATAGAGGTTGTAATAATGCGCACTGCTGGCTATTTGTCTTTCGGATGGGCTTCAGAAGTACCCCACAATTGAATAGAAAGTTAAGATTCGAATTTCATGTGCTTTCAGGATTCTAGCAAGGCTTGCACTACTTGCAAAATTTTACAAGCCGGGGAAAGGGAGCTTCAGGGGGGTGGTGACCTAAGGGCAGCGGACTAGGGTGTGAATGTGTATCTAGCCCAGGTCAAAGATTTTTGCAACCAAAACTGAAAGTGAAAAATTATTTCAGGGGGGTTCCCAGTTTGAGTCTTACCATAATTACATACTGAATTAAAAACTATTGAAAAACTCATTTGGGATATGTAAATTCATGAGATCATCAGCCTCTGATAGATCAAGAGGTGGAAAGCAAAAGGACAGGTAGACTAGAAGATCATAAAACGGGAGAGGGAGGGGGAGGGGGAGAGGGGGAGGGGGGGGAGAGAGGAGAGAGAACCTCCAACCCCGAGGAAGCCAGCTGACTGCAGTGCAGCAAAAGCACAAGCACTATTCCAGACCATGGGCATGCAGTCACCCAAAACCTCACACAGGGGAGGTGGGTGGGGGAAGGGAGAGGGTACACACAGGGCTGAAAAAGAACAAGGCACAAGACACAGAGAAGCGCCCACATTTGAACAAATAAAAACCGTCACGCGCACCCACACATCGATAATCATAGTAACGACTACACCACCCGTGCTTTAAGTCACTCATGCATTTCTGCCATCAATTTCAGACCATGTGGTATCAGGATTTGGCAGAGTGTTTTTTGCATTGCTCAACATGCACACATAACACAGGATTCTTCCTGACCAGGCCTTAAGGATGAGCTCCAAAAACACAAGTGCTCAAGATCCTTATTGAAAGAAAATCCCTTCGGTCACCCTAGTCTAAAAATCCCATTCTTACACTCCCTTCTACATTTACCATCAATTAGATCCTTAAAAACACATTGTGACTGATTGTTGTTTGGTTTCTTTTTGGAGAAAATCCATTTGATTTTGAATCATGCCCATGCACTTCTAACCTTCCAATACATGCTTATTCCAATCAGATATTGGTAAGAACAAATGATCAACATACATCAACAACTGGTATACTTCATACGTACTCTAGCAACACAAGCTTGAATAAAGTATTTTAATGAGTCTTCAAAGGGAAAGCTTTTTATAAATTATTTTCTCGTTTTTATAAAAGAAAAGAGAACTACAGAAGGAACTCCAGTATGAACACTTTTAAGACCAATGAAGTGGCCACGACAGGCTGACCTAATATTGTCTTGTCATTTGAGTTGCCAAGTTCTCCGACCATGGCATTTTTCTAGGCCCAGATCCCTCTCATGAACATCTCAAGGTTATTCTCAAGTGCATCTAAGTCAAAAGGTTGCTAAACTGAAGAAGCTGAGTTTTAGCCATAATTCACTCGAAGACAGTCGGCCCCAGATCTGTATCTCTCTGGAAATCAGGTCCCCTGTTTTATAGTTTCCACCATATCCTATCACCTTTTTTACCCTGACGACTGACCTGAAGACTGTTTCCCCTCCGTCAAGGAAGAGTCTAGATACTACTTTGGCTTTCATTAAAGCTTTTTGCTGTGGGGTGGAGAGTATGCTATTCAAGACAGCGGTATGACCTCTTTGTGAGGATGCTATGAGGACAAGAGACAAGTTAGGAGAATCTGTTTATACATGTACTACATAGGGGGACCAACCTGGGTTATCACGTCTCTCCTCCTGCTGGTAAGGAATAGTGTGTGTGTGTGGGGGGGCACTCCTTTTCTTCCTCCCCAACAGTTCTTGGCTCTGGGCCATTTCTCATGTGCTACCAGCCAGTGAACAACATCCTAGTCATGTACCCTGGCTCGAATGCTGTCCGTGAACTAATAAGGCAGTGGTTGCTTCTCTGTTTCCGACCACAGGAATGCTAGAAAGTCTTATTCCAATTGTCTCTTTGTATACCACAAAAGAGAGATCACCGTCCCTTTCTCTCCAGGAAAAAAGACCTGATCAAAAACCGTGTCCTAGACCACAACTGGCCCCGAAGTTAATGTCTCATTTTTCAGGTCAGGGAACTTATTTCCTACTTGGAATACCTCACCCGACTCCAAGACCTACATCCATTAGAGTAACGTAAGTACATGGATTTTATCGAAGGGACCTAGCAAATAGAACTCTGGAGTCTTAGGAGATAAATGATCAATATTTCTTCAAAGATCTCACAGAATTCAGCAATCTTATGGTTACATTTGACCCTGGAGTCAATTATAGGAGGCTCAGAACTTAAAGCATCTTAAAAAGTATAGAACAAAATCTCTTGAATGACATTAAAATAGCCTTAAAGCTCTGAGACTAATCGATAAAAGTCAGGAAGTGCTCAATTAATGATGAAACCTACAAATAACTAAGCTTAATGGAGTGCAGTGCCTGAGCTGTAGCAAGCACTATGGGGCATTACCTTAGAAAGTGGAGGTTTTATACCTAATTGATTTCTCATGATTGCCTGTGTATCTGGCCCTTTACCTTTTCCCTCTGTGCCAGTGACAGGAAAGGGCCAGGTGAGGTGGGAGGGGCGTAGGGAGGGATATATTGCTCCAAACCTAAGTTCACTTTGCTTTCTCAGAATTCCTCATCAAGGAAGTCCAGATGGGGGGGTGATGTGCCAAGCACCAAGGCCTGACCTTCAGGGACAGCTCACACAGGACGGGTTTCGCTTAGAGATTTCTAACTGCCAAGTCCTCAAATATAGGTCTGTTTTGAGAAAGTCAGTCTGCACTAGGAAGATATGTTTTGCTAAAAGGTGCATGACCAGTAAAGGGTTGGGGGATCACCCCTGGTCACTTAGATGATGGATTCCAACCCTGTACAACAGGCGAAGTGATTTCAATAGTCCCTTTACCAAAAAATTCCCTTGAACTCAATTATTAAAATTCAGCCAAATTTTCAACTAACGTATCTTTCTCCAAGCACAATATCACCGGGGCTAGAGTTAGGGAATAAAGTCATATATAGATGAAACATGATTCTAATTTTCTGATTGGAGAAACACAGAAAAGTTAAAATAGACTTATTCCAACCTTGTAAGTTGGAGATGAAATTGAGAAAGGACATCCCAATGGCCATTTTGTTTTTCTTTTTTAATCACTTTTTGGTTACAACCATAACCAGCTTTTTAGTATTTTGCCTACGAGATACCTGCACACAAATGATTTTTTGAGTCCCACTTAATGCTGTTAAAATTTACATCTGGTGTCACTCCTGGTTTGGAGAGGCTTCCCGCCCAATGCTAACTAGCATAAGCCTGCATGCACACATGGAGATTAAGAGTGAACTGGCCCGAATCTGCAGAGGTAGCTATGATTGGGAACATAATTAAGAGAAGATCGATGGCCTTGTGAATTTAAACAGAACTACCCTTCTGCCCTCACCTGTCCTTCACAGCCTCAACTATTAAGTGACGTGAATGACCCCTCTTCCAAATGTACCTGGGATTCTAGCCTATAAACAAAGAAAGCAACTGGGCCTTTAATCCAGAGGCCATGATTTTTAGGCCAATATTTGTTTTTGAAGTTCCTTGTATTTCGGTGTCCGGTGGGATTCTATCCAGAAGGGCCGCGTGCAGCCGGATCTCCTGCATCCCGGCCCGGCGGGCGCTGGCCTCATCCCAGACGGCCACCATGGGTGCGGAACTCACAACAGAAATGACAAGACTCGACATCCTTTCAAGCCTTCAAAATTACAGTCTGTGCATGAGATCAGTCTACTCAAAACATGGTTTCCCTTGAAGACTGCATTTCTCTTTTTCCCAGGCTTGCCTTGCCTCTCAGCAGCGCTGAGAAAGTAGATAAACAGTAACGTGATACCAACCGTGAACTGCTGGCTCTGTCGTCGCTGCCGTGTCTACAGACGGGAACAGAGGATTGGAGGAAGGGAGGAAACAGGAGGAACGGCATGCAAAAAAAGGGAAAATGGAAAAAAATGGAACAGATAATATATGAGCAAGCTTTCAAAGAACATCGCGTGACAAGCAATAATAAATGAAAAGCAAAAAGCATTTGAAGTGAGTTGCACTGTTTTAAGACATGCCTTCAGCTCAAAGCTGCGAGCCAGTGAGGAAAACAGTCAATTCTGTGGTTCCTGGGGGTCTTGCCAGGACACAGCTCCTTGCTAGTCCATAGTCAGGGGAACATGCAAAGTGAGGAGAAACACCAGTGCAGACTCGGTGGCTCTGAGCGCATCCAGGCTCAGGACTGGGGCAGGAAAGCTCGGTCGGCAGGCTGGCGAAACAAGGGGTTCATACATTCAAACATTGCCTCTGTCGGAAGCCAGCCCATGCGGGCACTCGGGCTGCGTGACTGCCAATTAGGCATCACTGACTCAATCGCACTTTGAGGATCCTTTTACGGCTCACGCTCAGATGCCTGTAGATGAACATGTGAGCTCAAGTTTTCCATCCCACGTTAATATTTTGGCAGTGTTTAGCTGGAAAGTGCCATGGACTGGGAGGCCATGGGAATGAACATATTAAAGGTTCCCCAGTAAGTTGCTGTATGCACGGTCCCCTCCCCACCCCCTCCCCCCACCCCCACCTCCCGGCCACCAGGCATCCATTCTTCGCTTTGCAGCGCCCACTGGGTTACCACCTAAGAGCAGAAGACCGCCATGGGCACACCCGAGTCTACACCAATTTGCCAAACGCCACTTCCAGTCACGTGACATTCCACAAATGACAGTATCCAGCCATCCCTTTGCCCCCAGGGCAGCACCACGTTGGCCATGGTGAGCTGCCGGGAGCTCCGCCTCCGCGGCCGCAGCAGGAGACCACACGGCCGCCCCCGCCTTGCCAGATGCACTTGCTGCGGAAGAAACGATGGTCTGCCTCTTTCTTCTTCCATTTCCGATGCTGTTCAAGTTTCCTCCTCCTGCTGGGCTTCAAACCAGGCCTTCTGTCCTGGCTCCTCTTCACAGGAAATGGCTCAAGGGGCTCAAGAAATTTTCTTTTTATTTTTGGCTAGAGGGAAAGTGGGATAAATATCTAACAAAATGCACGATCACATTCTTTTTCCAGTCAGTTTTTTTTTTTTTTTTTTTTTTTTTAACACCACTCCTGTGGCCAACTTCATTCCCAAGTCAACCCATCTGGCCGTGCTTTAGTGTTCAGCTCTACACCTCTCCAGTATGTTTCCTTCCACTATCCCCTTCTGGCCAGAAAGGGATGGTGACATGGACTCGTCATCTCTAGCTGGGGTGGCGTTCTTGGTTAAAAGTGCAAGTAGTCACCTGTTCCCCCCCCACCCCCGCCCTTAACACAGCCATTTAAGCTGGTAATTATTTTCATGAGTTCTAGGGACTCCAAAAGACTCTTCCGGACTCGACACAGGCAATGTTTAAATGCAATGGAATGCCAAACTTTTTTTTTTTTTTTTGCTCAAACGAGCCTGATGCTTCTGATCTGCAAATCAGGACACATGAATTCACACCAGTGTTCCCCCTCAGTTGGCACGCTTTCCTCAGGACCCTCTAACCATCAAAACAATGGCAGCCCTTCTAAGGAGCCAGAATCAACCAGCAGTCTGAGAAGCCCCTTCAGCTTTAACGTCACTTATAGCTGAGTCTCTGAAGAATTGATGAAGGAAAGAAAAACATAAAATACACCGCATAAGAACACAATACTTACTTACAAGTCAAGTCTGTATGCATAAAATAGCAGTAAAGAACAATACCAAAAATTGTACAGTTGTAACATCGCTATACCAGATTGTCATGACACAGTAGACACATCTCCTTACTTGAAACATCCAAGTCAAGTGTTAGTTTGAGGTGCTTTCAACTTAAGGGGCAAGATCAAATGCACATTTGTACAAAACATTTATATGCACGCTGGTACATTTTATGGATAGGCACTGGCTCTTTTCCAAAATTAAAAAAAAAAATAAACACTGTGGCTGGTTATTTTTACAGTAGTGCTTCTCATAGGCTGTAATTTTAGCAGGTAAATAAGTAGCATAAAATGAAAGAAAGGAGGTGGAGTAAAGCCTAGAGGTTAGATAGAGCCCTCAAAAATCGTATCTTAGCATGAAGCGATGACTGCTCGATTTACTGTCTTCCTACATCGCCACGCTGTCCGCTTTATCACGAAACTAAACTAAGTGACCCTAGGCGTTGGCTTCTTTGTGGGCACTAAAAAAATGAATGAGCCAAGTCCACAGTGCAGCTTGCTTCCCCATTCTGGGGATGGGAAATCCATCAATTGCACCCAAAAGGGGAGGAGAAAGGGTTGCTGGGGGGTGGGGTTGGGGGTGGAAACATCTTCTAGAACAGTTAAAAGCAAACACATGTTCGAGTCAAACCACACAAGTCACTGCGGCTGGAAATGGCAAAGCCATGATCAGCAAGAGAGCAGAGAAATGCAGCAGACAGACAGGTTGGCCACGGACTTCGAAGGAGGTTTGAGGGTGTGCCGGGGGAGGCTCTGATTCTATTTCTCTAAGAGCATCTGGTGTGCTATCTGAACAGAGGCTATTTCAAGTAAAGAATTAAAAATAAAAAATTCTTTAGAAGTGACTTTGTGCTCCCCGCAGGAGAGCACTGTGACAGAATCTAATTCTCCTTCATAATTGCATTATGACTTCATGCAGAAACCACAGACCCCTGGCTCTGAAGTGAGCGCCACTCTGTGAAGTAGGATTTATTAGGGGTGTCTTAATCAGAAGACTGGTGAGATGTGCCAGCCCACCCCTGTGAATCAACTTGTGGGGTCACTCCATTGTTTGATAACATTCAAAGTCTATGGGCAAAATGCAAAGAGTAAATTTCCAATATAAGTTAGACACCTTATCATTAACTCAAAAAATGAGAACGCCTGATTGTCCTAACAAAGACTAGTTTTCAACTGCATTTTGCTGTTACCTTTAGAAACTCACCGGAGTCAGGACTCCGAGAAAAAGAGGTCACAAAGAGCGGAGTTGGGCTTAAGGCGCCGTAGGGTTATGGAATTAAAAAGGCCTTGCTGAGCTATTGTCTCTATTTTAATTTTGATTACAATAAGGGCAAATTTATTGTACACTTACTTTATATGGTCAACAACAATCACACACACACAAAAAAAACAACAAAGAACAATCCCACGTTCCTGCAAACCCAGTGAGTGTGTATGGCCTTAATAGTCACTCTCTAGCTGTTTTACGAGTATAATCAAACAAGGTAACCAAGGGCAGGCCCTGGACTATTTGAAAGATGCACATTTCACTAAATATTGACTTCTCGGTCTCCTGGCCATACAAACAGTTTATGGCATCCTATCTTGAGTAAATTAAACATCACCTATATTTCACGTGGCAGTGTAAGATATTTACAGAATGAAAAGGCTCTGACAATGTGTGAGATTAGAGACAGTAGCCATTTAACCAAGTAGCCAAAAAAAAAAAAAAAATTGCTGCACGAGGCAGCTGGGCAATATTTAGTTGAAACAGTCATGTGTAAGCTCCACTGTGGCCCATTCTAATCCTTTCATATGGATTCTCTCCAACTTAGAATTGTTCATTGAGTGTGACAGACTGGGGGTTTAAAACTAATCCATAAATTAGTCCATGGTCTCAAACACAACGGGTGCCATAAATGAAAATGAAAATCCTAGAACAAAATTAAATTCACAACCTTAAATACTTTTTCTTCTCCAATTGCTCTGTGGTGCTTCTGCTTTATGACGCACAGATTCACTGCAAGACTGCATTTTGGGGTGTGTGTGAGTAGGGTGTACATTTAAAAATGCAGTGTAATAACCCAGAGAACCCAATCTGCTCAAAAGCAGAGCTTAATTGTAAAGAATTTAAATTCTCCCATTTTGATTGTCATAACCTTAAATGGAAGCGTACTAAGCAGTCCAGACATATTTTAATACACTTTCCCCAAGTTTATTTTCTTAACTAAAGTCAATAAGGAGCCAATGGGTTTTCTTAATTGAATTCCCCTTCAGTTTGTGTTATGGGGCTGCTTTAAATCTAGACACTAGGGCAGGCGAGGAACTCCCCTGACAATTTTATTTTCATAGTTCTGTTTCGCCGGCCAATATATATTATAGTTTTTTTAAATTTGTTTCTTTATTTCTGACTTATTTGAAATCTACTGAAAGCAAAAATACGTGCTGGAAAATTAAACTTCGAAATTTATTTTCTACTGGATTCCTGGTTAATTTTCTTTCCAACTATGTTATCCTTTAATCAAACTCCCATTTCTCAGGGACTGGAGAAAGGGGACAAGAACAGAACAGAAGCTAAAAGGCCCAAACAGGAGAGTCCTGATAAAGCTCTCTTACTCCTTAAAGTCACCCTCCCCTCCTTCCGGGGAAGGGGAGGGCCCCCCGCCCCGCCCCCGCCCCACGAGAAACGGCGGGATGGGGAGTGGCTTGGTGTTCTGTTAAGCAATTTCAAGTTTTGTTAAAAGCAGTGCTGCTGTGCCCCTGAGATCTTTCCATTTGCGAACCAGAGGTTCTGAAAATTACAGGAGCCCATACAGGGGTTTCCTCTCACAAGGAACACTCCTCTCCCTTGGGCTGGGTGAAGGCTGGGTGGGAAGGAGGGGCAGAACAGAAGACAAGGGCCGGGGCGGAGGGGGACGGGGCTCTGCAAGCGGGAGCTTCTGGTGGTCTCCGCTTAGACGCCGGGCGGCGGGGTGCTTCCGAGCCCCACCTTCCACCGTCAAGACAGCCCCAACAATCACTCTCTGAGCCTGAGAAACCCGCTTGCACGATGCTAGACTTCTGCACTGTGGATGAATCTTTAGTACGGAAACGCGTCAAGACTTTATCTCTTGGATTCTTTTTAAACAAGGAACCTAAAAGTACGGGAATTATGATGGAAGCAATAGAAACAAAAAAATCGCAGTTCCCATCTCTCATTTCT